ACGCACTCATTGTGCAACACAATTTATTTCTGCGACACCTCGTTAGAGCAGGGAAGTGTGAGAGGAGGTGGGGACAGCAGACACCAGAGGTGTGAATGGGTGGTAACAAACTGAGTGCTACAGTGAGCCACCAGTCAACACCTCCAGGTTTCAAAAGAAGGGGAAAAGGCAGGAAAGAGGAAGAAATATATTTTCATGTGCTTTATAACTTCCATGAATATTAGGGAGCTCTTGTGCCAAGGCAGACGCTGCATTACAGAGGCACAACACGCTTCAGTGAGGCACAAAACCAGACCTGTACGTGTGCCAATATCAGCACTCCACCCTCTATCCTTTACAGTCTCTTTATCTCTCTTTATCTCACTTCTTTTTGCAAAGCCTATTCCTCCACAAGAAGGAAATAAATTGTTTAAAAGGGAAGGAAGAGCCCCCACCATCTCACACAGGGATCGAAAACAGCATTCCCAGGCACAAGATAAAGACACTAAAAGCCATAGGGAAAACCTTTTATATTTTTATATTCATAAGTTTTTGAAGGAAATTTTTTAGCATTATTTTTCCACCCAAAATGTTCAGTAGCAACATTAATTTTATTGGGGGTTGGGGTGAGATTTGAAGGGCCTCAAATCCTCTCTTGCCAATCATTTAAAAACCATTCAGGGAGAAAATGTAGCTTAATACAGAGGCTACAGATTCAGTGAAATGTTTGTACAGAAACAGTGCACCACTAACCATCATTTGTGTGGGTGTGATGAAACTCTACTCTGAGTAACTTCAGTGAGACTACAGCTTCATCCTTCCACCCCTCCAAAAACAGGGAAGGAAAACATGCAATGGATGAGGAAAGCAGACTGGGGAAGGGGGGGGAAGGGAGGGGGAAAAAACCCAGCTCAGTATTATTCATTATATTAAACAAATATCACCCAAACAGTCAATGTTAGATCTCATATTCTGCCACCTTAACCCTTCACTGCTTTTCAGGCTGGGCAAACGCTGCCCCTGCTGAGGCTGAACCCCAGTTCCACACCGCGCCCAAGCTCTGGCACAAGGGGCAAAAGCAACGGAAAGAAGCCAGAAAAGAGGCTTTAGCTGTGGATCAGGTCCTCAGTCCTGAGCCAAACTGACCTGCAGTCTGTGGGCTGAGTGCAGGGACACAGGCTGGGAGGAAAACAAGAAAATAACTATACAGTGATGGAGCATCCCCAGGCAAAGAATGAGCCCATAAAATACCCTGCCCCTTCCACACATGCCCTGGTACCCACAGCCCCTGCCCAGAGCTGCTGCAGCAGGGCAAGGGTGCCTTGGTAGTAAATGAACAGTTAAGGATAAAACCTATTGTGCAAGAGACTCCTTAAGGAATAGCACTATGGGACACAAGGAGAAAGAGGGGAATTCATGGATTGGCAGCCTTTTCCTAAAGACTAACATCCCTCTTCTCTAACTGAATGACCCCATCCTTTCCAAGGATGTCTTGGTGAGCTTTAGGGGTCATAACTCACCCCCAAGTATGTGAATTAGAATTACATTTGGTACTTAATGCAAGTTTAGAGCCACAGAAGCAAATATTTTCTTCACTTTGGACTTAGTACAGATCACATGCCTGTTCTGAAATTAGGACAGTTCAAAGCAACTGGAGTTGATGGTTTCAGATGGTCTGTGCAGTAACAGCCAGTCTGTGAATCACATGCTCTCCTGTGCAATAAAACCATAGATGGGCTCAGGAATAATCCAAGCCTTGAGTTGGCAGCACTGCCATTTTCTTTCTTGGGGACAGAATTTCACTTTAAGTCCTTATCTGGATATAAGCCAAATTAATATCATATCAGATTCTGAACACAGATTGGGGACCATCATGCAGGGGACTCTTTCACACTGGGCACATGAAAATTCAGTATAAGGACTAATACTTTTTTCCCCTTTTCTAATGGGAAAAAATACATAAATACTTATATATTATTATGACATAATTCAATGAAGGTATCAATCATGATACCTGATTCTTACAAAGCCATGAAAGCCACAGTTTATGTGTACAGTCCAAGTCACCCTGGTCATGATTCCCTCATAACACACATCCACGAGGAGGGAGAGGCACGAGCATTAGCCATGAAACCCTGCGACAAGTGCCCAGAGACAAGAGATCTCATCCCATTCTGGGAGATGAAAAGCATCTTAGAAGACACAGCAGAAACAGGATGGATGAGAGAGAAACAAGGGAAAATGTATTAAATGGGGCATTATGTTTATACTCAGTTTGAAAAACACACATCTCCTGTAAGATCAGGAGAAACTGCATCCAGTATTTACTAAAACCAAGGCCTCGATTCCCTAACAGATTTACTTCCTGGGATAGTCTCCTTTATGAAAATGTCTACAGTTGTATCTATTTAGTTTAGCCTTACTGTTGTCTACTGTCATCATTCAACTGCTTTATAAGTGGGTCACTCTCAGGAGACAGCAGAAAACACATTTCCCACTGACAGAGCCCCAGAGGGAATCCCTTGCCTCTGTTTGCACATTAGCAGTTTACTGCAATCACTACAGAACATTTTCATTTTCTGTGCACATTCTCCTTTCCTGCTATAGGGGCTTCCTGCCCAGCCCTGGTGTCCCAGTGGTGCAGGGCCACGAGCTTTGCTCACTGCTGGGCCTTCAGCAGGTATTTCTTTTGAAATGTGGGAATCCTTCCTTTCCAACTGGGCCGCCATCCAGTCTGTACAGAACACACCTTACTGAGCAGGTGCTTCCCATTGGGCACAGCTGCCCAGAAATGCACAGGCTGGTACATTTGGGTACAAACCTTGCCAGCACAGCCTCCTCACCACAGTTCCACCCTTACCTAGTGCTGCAAAAATGAACAGAGCTCTTCCCAGAGCATCACAGTTCCTGTGGCAGCCAGAAGTGGTTATGACTGAGATGTGCATGAACAAAAAATAAACAAATCCGCTACATTCAAAATAAATAGGAGCCAAGTCCTGTTTTCAAACAGGCTATCCTGGCAACAGATTATGGATGCCTTCCCTACCTAGCATTCAGTCTTACAAGAGCAGCATATAATTTAACATACACATGCAATATGACTCCTTTTCAAAGTCTGATCATTAAGAATGTCTGAGCAGAGGAGGAAATCTGTGCATACAGTTCTTTGTACCTGCAAACTGGGCAACAATCAGTTCCAAGTCAGCCCTTGATGGCTTGTGCACGAGGACACCTCTTGGAGTGCCAACAATGCCTCAGGAAATTCCAGCCAAGTACAACTGGAAGCAACGCTGAGGCTCTTGCACATCCCCTCCCTGACATGTTGGCACGTTCATTTCTGACTGAGCCAACACCACCTCACCCATTTACAGCACAACCAGATTTTGGTACTTGCAAAGATGACAGTGTTGAATCTGTGTAGTGTCAGGATTCCAGAAGCCCTGTTCACACATGTCACATGCAATTGTCCTTCTGCAAGGAGCAGTAACAGCTGCAGTAACAGCAGCACTTGGTGCTGCCTGGGAGTGCAGAACAGGCGGGAAGAGGGACCAGGTGGATTTGTAGATGACTTAACTTTAAAAATAACATTTAAAAAAATATAACAATAATTAAAAAATCTTTTCCCTGGCCCAGCCTCAGCACTGCTGGAATGTCTTATTTACTCACACAGAGAGGAGGGGGCTGTGGGGACGGAGTTTCTCTCAGTCACTTCCTTACTCCGTTGGCCTGGCTGAGGAACTGAACCACAGTCAATTAAAACTTGTAGTGTGGCTGTTTGGGGTGTTTTCTCCTCCCCCTCCTTTTTCCTTCTCTTCTCAATCCAAGGTTCAAACAGGAAAGCAGCACTGCTTTCCCCTGAAGCCAGGGTGCTTTGAGAAACATCTCAACTGGCTTTGGAAATCATATTTCCAGGATCTGGGAACGCTTTCCAAAAAGTGCTCTGGCCCACCCACATCCAAACAGCAGAGGCTCTGGAGGAGTCCTTGCCAGCCCCAGCCTCTTGCAGGACACATGTGGGTGTGGGCCTCTGAGTTTTGGACACTTGCTGAAAAAAAAATATAAAATAAAAAAGAAATAGAAAGGGAACTTCAAAGGAAAGGAGCAGAAGCACTTCAGAAATTAATCACGCCCGGTGGAAAAGATGATTAGTGGTTTCTTGTGCTCTGTTTTTAAAGCTATTGATCTTGGACACAGGAAGGAGCTTTCATATTCTCCACAAGCCACAGATGGTCAAAAGGGTCCTGAGAGGAAGAGACAAAAAGAAACCACAAGGGAACTCCAGAGAGTACCAGAACTCAAGGTGTGTTCCAGCGACCCCCTGAAAAGGATGCACTGGAAAACTGGACACAGCAGCAGCAGCTTTTGCTGGTTTTCCTTTCCCTCAGCTTCCTCACACCACTCTCTAAGATGTCTGTCTTTGGAACAGGTAAGCTCTAAAAGCAGTTTTCCAACACATCAAATACACTACACCAGAAACACCAAATAAAATAATTTGCCAAGGCTTTGAAAATTATTTGCCACAGCTTTGGTGCTGTTTTCAGATCTACAGACTGTAACTACATGGCTCACAAGTAGTAGGGTTGAGACAGAAACTGTAAGACAAAAACAACAAGGCCTTTCATCTAAACCAACTGTTTGATGATTGAAAGTAATGGAATATCTCTCTCTCTCTGGCCAATTTTGTGGACTTTCTGCCAACTGAATTTTCCACACAACAGGCAATTATTTCAGAAAGCACAAACTATAATCCCTAAATTGCCTCCCATATAGTCTTGTGCAGGGTCAAGCTTTCTTCTGGGCAGCACTGTCCGTTCTCATCTCCAGTCAAAATACAATCAGATGTAGGAAATAACCAACATTTCTCCATAGCTAAGATGATACGTAGTCTTGCTTGTATTATAGAAAAACACATATATTTTAATGAACTTATTGAGAGAACTTGAAATTACATTAGGTAATAAAATCAGGACAAAGTAAATAGGACAAAATTTCCCACCCAGGAGGTGGTGATGGTTACTCACTACAAATCTCTGGAGTGGGACCTACTGAGCTTCCCAGTGTGGCAGGAGGAGGTGGAATCAGGCTGTTCAGAGCTCCTGCTTCTCACATCATTTTCAAATCCAGGTACTGGCCATTCTTCATCCTGAAATGTGTGAAAGCTTTTGTTTTAATCCCTGTGTACTAGCACACCCTCACTGGCCAAAATGAAAACTCAGGCAATGACATTTGTCTGTCTTCTATTTGTCTTAAATCACCTCAGCTTTATGGACCCAGTTCCCTTGGGACAATGAGCAACAACTGCAATAGCACAAGGACAAGGATGGAGCAGAGAGCAGCAAAGAGCAGGTGAGTGGGCGAGGAGGGAAAACGGGGCTTGTTTAGCTTGGCAAATGTTCTCCCAACTCTGACTTCAGGAAGGAAGGTACAGGCTCCAAAATGCCTTCACGGAAAATAAAGCACATTTAAACTGCAAGCAAGGAACAGCTCCTCTGATCAGAACTCTCTGAAATCAATTCAAATAGCTGAGGCAACATGGGAGCTCTTGATGACTGTGTTAACATTTTGACATTTCTTTGCACAGTCACTGGAACTACATTATCAGCAAGGATCTAACAGCCTTATGCTCCTCTGTGGAACAGCGTAGAAGGAGAGTGGCAAGTAAAATAAAATATAATCACAGTAGATGTTTTGCTCTCCTTCTGACAATAGTCTTCTTCCCAGAAGAATATGCCCCCAAGAAAGAACTTTGAGAAAACCAAAAAATTCAGACAGCTACTGAATTTCTTTTCAATATAAATAAGCAAATTAAAGAAAGCCATTTGTGTTTCATCCTACTGTTTTTTTCAGAGGCACTTCTTCCCATTACCAGTACCAAGGAAAACAAGAAAAAGAAATCAATAGCCAGAACACATCACCTGCAAAGTTCTTCAGTTGTTTGGGAGCAGAGAGGGAAAAGGGAGAATGGAGAAATGCAAACGTTCCAGTCACCTCAAAGCACAGAACAAGCACAATGAAACACAGGGTACCAGAGGGCAGGGTGGCCCAAAGTCTCCTCTGGGGAACAGCAGGGAACTGCCCTGCAATGGATCCAAGGTGCTCAGAGACACTGGGCTGCAGCAACCAAAACCCATGTCCCTAATCACTACATGCATGGCTGGAAGGAGCAAGCATCTAATTCTGACACCAAGCAGAGCTGTGAAAAGTGTTTCTCATCAGACAGTGAAATGAATAACATTTGGTTACGTCACTGTAAAAGGTGATAATGCAGGAATAAAAAAAAACCAAAGGCCAAAGGAATGTTTGCAGGCAGAGCAGGGCTGTCTGCAGTGAGAGCAGGAACTGGGGCACTGGAGTCTGCTCCTGGCACTGCCATCAGCCCATGGCAGCACACAGGGCTGAACAGCTCCCTCAGGGCACTCACTGTCACCCAGGCAGTGCCACCACAGCCCATCACCGGGCACTGTGCCCCTCAGGGAAGGACCAGCTGCAGGGAGGGACTGGGACCTTCACCAGTGCCACAGAGGGTGTAAGGATTTATCATTGTTCAAGCACAGACTCTGAACAGAGAGGCAATTTAAACACCTTTTCAAGGATTCAGTTGTTGTTTAAGATTTGTAATCTTTTAGGGTTTAAAATCCTCTTATTAAGAAATTATTACTTCTCTTATTAACATGAAGGTGTCTAAATTTTCTTTTAAGTGGCAAAGGAAGTCCCACTATCACAATTTTCAGTGTTACAGAATTAATTCAAACTGAGTGATCTTTGCACTGTATTCCTTTGCCACATGCTTGGAAATGTTCAGGGGAGGTGCCTGTTTCTCTGCTTCCAGAAATGTTTTTTTCATCCTGGAATCTTTTGGATTTCTATACTTCTATAAAAGACACAACAGCAAACCAGCTCACAATATTTTCCACACAAGATGCAAACTAACAATTCAATGAACCATTTTCCCCCTGCCCATTCAATCCAAGATCATGAGAGACCTCTCTACTACAGCTGACATTTCTTTTCCTTCCTGTTTGACACTGGACTGGTCTGTTTGGACTGATTTTCTGCAATTGCTGTTCAAAGCACTCTTCTTCTGGTTTTGCTCTCTATGGAACTATGTAAACTGCTGTTATTTACACATTAATTACACGGAGTTGCACTGTTAACTCTAGCCCAGAGTTCACAAGAGCCTCAATCCTGCTGTCAGGTCCTCGGTGTTGATTCATTATCTCAGCCCAATGTGGCTTCCCAGGAAGTCAAGCAGAGTGATCCAGTTGCCTGATCAGGAATAAAGTTCTCATCAGTGAGACAGGAATGCTGGTGTGGGACCAATGAGTAACTCTCAGGAGAGGAACAGCCCTGAGTGGGTACTCCAGCCTCTTCATTTTCCTTGATCACAGCACTTTTGGTAAAGTATCTCTCAGTGAAGGCTGGAGACAATTAATTACGAAGCCCCTGGAGTGTGAACAACAGTATTACTGTCATTGGAAGCTGAGCTTTATTAATCTCTCCAATTTCTGTTAGGCAAGGTTACATAAACCATGTGCTTTTATATTATACATATTTGCTTTGGGTCTTTCTTCTCCAGGGGAATAAAACTTAAATGTGGAGGGACCCTTTTGCAATATTTAAAACTCAGCAGTTAAATATCACTTTACTAATAACTTACCCCATTTTGCCATCTGAGCAAGCACTTCAAAAGGTTTAGATAGGCTGCAGTGTAGGAATCAAAGAAGAAATATTGGGTCATTTTCCACAAGATTCTAATTTCCTTTTGAAGCCCAGTAGGCATTACCAAACTGATGACAATAGATGCTATAAAGAGTTTGATGTTTAAAGTATCTACACTGAAAAAGGCAGAAAACAAAAAGAGACCTTTAGTCTGGATGTCTTGGCTTTTCATATGGGTGGTTGACAAGCTGGGCTATAGGGGAAACCATAATGTGCCAAGCACACAGAGCCTGGAGCCAAGAAAGGGATAATTTCAGGCAAGACCCAGTCCCTAAAGCCAAAACCACTGGCCTGAAAGCTTTTCTCAGAAGGTTTGCTGTTCCCATCACTGCTGGGATGAATTTTAACTCGTTATTGATCAAGGGAATTTTAAAATCAATTTTAATTAAATGAAAGATTTCTATCATGGCTTGTTCTGTGTGGAAGTCACACAGACGACATATAAATATATGGAGGCAGATCATGCAGAGTAGATTTGTAGCAGTTAGGTCCTAACCATGTGAGAAAGAAGCCAAAGTTACATTTGAAAGCAAATTTGTTGTAGTGAATTATCTACAATACTTGTCTATTCCCTCCCTATTTTTGCTTTTGCTATTGAAATTTAGTCAGGACCCGCACTTTTTTTTTCTACCAAAGGAAGTATTTTCATTAAGTTCCCTCTCAGATCCCAAAATGACTGAAAAAGGGATCAGGGTGCCTACTACATGTTAACCACTGAAAGCCATGGTTTGCTCAGCTGGCCACGAGCAGCCAAGTCTGAGCAAGGTGAGGAGAGGAGCCAGTCCCTCAGCTGAGACCCACCTTCCACACACAACACTTCTGCTTTCAGATCTCAGATCACTCTATTGCCAGGGCAGGCAGGTCATTGGATCTGCTGTGCAAGACAGAAAGGATGGAAGCAACAAAATCGACTGTCTAATGAAAAGGCTGATCAACAGCTCCAGGTGAACAGCAGTTCCAAGCAAACCACTCCTTGTTGCACTGGAGGGCCTGGGCAGGCAGGTCCCACCTTTGCTCCCCACTCCCTAAGGTAGACTGGGGACTATCCTTGGGATGCCTGAGTTTCCTCAGCTTCCTCCACAGAGGAGAACAAGGTTTTTGTCTCGTTCCAGGTGCCATTGCCTGTCTGCCAGGCTCTGAAGGAGCTCCACAAAGGTTGATGGACCTCAGGCCCTGTGCAAAGCTTACAGCCCTGTGCAAAGCTCAAAAAGAGCAAACCTGCATCTTTCAACACCTGCTTACTATTAAGAGTCCAGCTGCTCATCCTCTGCCTCAGGCAGGTCCTCACACCGCTGGGGCCCAAGGCACGAGTTCAACCCTCGAGCTCCAGCCTGGGTTCAACTGAGGCCACAAAGCAAATCCATGGCAGGTGAGTTCATCCTACACAGACAGGCTCCTGAGACTCCTGTAACATTGACCACTAACACAGGGCTCTGTATGTACTGCAGGCTTTACAATTATTAATTCATTAGCATTAATTCATCAGTCACCACACTGAGCCCCCAAGTAGCACAGTCTTATTCCGTTTCTTTGTGTGAGAAATCAAAGGCCCAAAGGGTTAAGTGACTTGCCAAAGGTCAGTGAGAAAAATCAATGGAAAAATTGGAATTAGAACGTAAAAATACCCAATTCCTCGCTTTGTGTTTAATTCACTTTACCTCACCTAATCAAAGGCAACAAGTAAAATAAGCAAGATCCCACAAGACTCCTCATAGCCAGAAGAGCCTTTTTCAGCTGCAAGGTCTCTACCAAGCCCAGTTAGAATCTACAAGGCTCCATTGTGTTTTCAAATACAATGCACACTGCAGTAAATAGGTTATTTTACAACCCTGGCCCAGTTTTCAAAGTGGCCTCAATCAGCGTTGTGCAAAACATTCATGTCCAACCACAAAATTACAATCAGTCTTTGTTTGAGTCCAGGCCGTGTCCCTGGCCAGAGCTGGTTAGTCCCAGCTCGCAGGGTCTGTGAACTGTTAGTCAAAGGTTTTTGCAACATTTTTGCCCTGCCTGGATTTCTCTGAATATTTATAGGCTGCTGTTCTCCAGTGACTTTCATGTTCAAACTGTGTTGGCTGGCGGGGGTGGAAAGGGGTGTAAATAACGGGCAGAGTCACATGTTTTCCACCAGCCCCACTTGTTTGGCTTCCAGGAAGAGACACGTGTTGCAAGAAAACAACTGCAAGGCTTGACTGTGGGACATTTAAATTAGTCTAAAAGTATTTCTACACACTTGAATGTTTTCAAACATCCAGCTGTTGTGAAATAACAGTTTAATGTTTGGATATTAAAGCAGACCTGTGGAACTAAAATTTGTAGTGTTGCTCATTGTTTTAGGAGTGGGGATGAAAAATATTACTTCAAAAACTCTTGATGAAGACTATGAAGTATCAGCAAAAGGAATTAGCCTGAAAAATCTGTACCATG